AGAGTTTTATAATGAACATTCTGTTTTTATTGTGTGGAACAATTTGAAGAGTATTGGTATTAGCTCTTCCTTGAATTCCTGGTAGAATTCTGCACTGAAGCAATCTGGCCCTGGGCTTTTTTTTTTTTTTTTTTTTTTTTTTGGTTGGGAGGGTTTTGATGACTGCTTCTATTTCATTAGGTGTTATATAGGTCTATTTAAGTTTTTTTATCTGTTCTTGATTTAATTAATTTTGGTAAATGATAGCTATCCAGAAAATTGTCCATTTCCTTTAAATTTTTTAATTTTGTGGAGATCAGGTTTTCAAAGTATGCCCTAAAAATTGTCTGGATTTCCTCAGTGTCCATTGTTATGACCCCCTTTTCATTTCTGATTTTGCTAATTTTCATGTTCTCTCTCTGCTTTTTGGTTAGTTTGGACAAAGGTTTGTCTATCTTGTTGATTTTCTCAAAGAACCAACTCTTTGTGACATCGATTCTTTGTATTGTTTTCGTTGTTTCAACTTTATTGATATCAGCCCTCAATTTGATTATTTCCTGGCATCTACTCCTCCAGTGTGAGTTTGCTTTTTTTTTTTTTTTTTTTTTTTTTTTTGTTCTAGAGCTTTCAATTGTGCTGTTATTTCTCTAATGTGACTATTCTCCAGTCTTTTTATGTGGGCAGTTATTGCTGTAAACTTCTCTACATCCCTGGCTACTGCCACTGACAATAGTCAACATCCTCCCTTGATAAGAAGTTGCTAAGAAGCCACTGAGAAGTATGCTACTGGGATATAAAAACAGTTGGTATTGGATCATGTGAACTACCGAAATGGTAAAAGAAAACATTTTAAAAGAATTCACTGTGACAGAAGGAAATAGTGGGAAGGATCCATTAGTTTTGAATTACTCATACATTTCCAAATACACATTTCTTGCAGGATAGAAAGTTAAAGCCAAAATTATGTCAGTAGTTTGTGATAAAACTTGAAACGGTAAAAAGAGGATAATGTTATGAAACTAAACATGTAATAAAAATTCCTGAAAGCTAAGATTTTGACGATGGTTCCATAATGGAGGAGAAGATAATTCATAAACGTATCTGGCTCTTTTCTGGTTCTTACTTCTACAGACAAGGAACCAGCAGCATGGATAGGAGTGGGAGGGTGCAGAAGACAAGCTTGAGAGATGGAACACTAGGGAGCTAGCCTTCCTGCAAAAGGAATTATGGAAGAACTGTTTTTCCAAGACATGACACTTACTGCTCAATACTTTAAAAGTAATGTGGATTTGCCAGCACTTTGCCTCCCGCAAAGATGACTGATAAGGAAGTAGAGTTGGCCTTATGATAGAGAAGATCATGATGTTGAAGAAGCAATGTTTCAGGGGTGATATCTTCTGAGGTCAAGACGACAGTGTCCTGGAAATATCTCCATTAACATATGAACATACAAAACAATTTACCTACTTGCAAAGCTTGTTAACTATATTTTTCATCAAAGTCTAACAGGTATTATGTTCCCCAACTTCTGCTCCAACCATTCATTCTCTGGATTGTAAACAGTGAAAGGACATAGTTAATTCTTTTCTACCTATATTTCTTTTGCTGATGAATGTTCCACTTTGATGGATTTAATGCTATTTTTCTCTTTTAGAATTTAGACCATTTTCAGAGAAACCCTGCTCCAAAAAATAAAAAAATAAAATTAAAAAAACAGAGTAATAATAAAGCTACATAAAGATAAAAATCTCAAAAAAAATGGATACTGTATGGTGTTATATTGTCTTTATATTGTTTGACTGCTGAGAAAACAACTGTTAAAACAAATACTGCTAATTAATTCAAATTATATATTTTACTGGAAAAAAAGATTTCTATTTTTGTTTCCACAAAAACTAAAAAGCTGTAGATTCCTTCCAGACTAATGTGGTTTGATCAAGCCAGGCCCCCTGAAACAGAGTCGCTGGTGATCCAACATTAAAAACAGCTTAGACAAACAGCCTCATAGAGTACAACCAGGATTTCTGCGTCTTCTTAGGATTCCCCCATGACAACACCCTTTACTAGCAAAAAGTAGTTTAGAAAGAACGACGCCCAAATTCCCAAATATTGTTTATAAATGTTTGTTTTCATTTAAATGGACTTGGTTATAAATGGTTAATGATCACAACCAATATCCTTTTAAAGGTAAAAAGAAAATTATGGTATAAATATGAATACTTTGTTTTGGAATAGATTTTCATTTATTGATACAATTTAAGGTCAATGTTGTAATATGTATATTTCTCTTCTTGTTTATATATTGTGCTTATATAGCTCATTTAGGAATGTAATGTATAATTTAATACAGATTATAGATAGGTACCTATAATAGTTAAAATTTATAATGTTAGTTAGGTTTTCTAGATGTGTAGAGATGTATTTAAGATGAGATGATGGGAGATGTCATTCTGTATATGTTTCTCATACTGGTTAATGAATAAAGCACTGTTGGCCAATAGGAAAGGAAGATAGGAGGGACTATGAGACAAGGAGGATAGAGGAAGTAGGAAGGAGGGTCAAGATGGAGAGACTGGGGAGACCAGATGCCTGCCCTACTCCCCGGGAAGGAAACCACGTGAAAATACATAAAAATGGGTTAATAATTAAGACAGAGCAAGCTGATAAGAAACTAGTAACAGGCCTACAAAATTATATTATATACAGGGTCTGGCACGGTGGCGGGACAAGACTTGGCGGCGGGCAGATAAAACCTTACTCCTTACAGAATTCTCCTCACAAGCTATTTCCAGAATGTTCAAAGAGCCTCTTTCACAAGGAGGGGGTCTTTGTTCATTAGTTTAGTGGATGGGATAGTCTTTTGCCTCATCTTATTAGAGGTAAGCAGACATTATCCAATCTAAGATGACAGCACCACAGATGTTCCTCTTGCTGACATACACCCCAAAGCTGATGACAAAGAGTTTCCTGATACTTCCCTTTAAAAAACAAGTGCCATCATGACCCAGGGTTACAGATATAATGGCAGTTTTCTGGAGGGAAATCTTAGAAAGCAGTTGTACTTTATAAACCTCTTGATTTACTCCATACAAAACTCATTCTATTTCAAGTAAATGGAGTGGCTTTCTCTCTAATTCAGTGATCATTTCACAAGAAAATGAAATAAAGAACAGCTGTTCACTAGGATGCCAGAAGCTATCTTTTTACATCTACCTGAATATCAACCATTCTCTTGTCTTTGGGTCTAGAATCTATTGCACATTGGTTGTAAGCCAATCTAGCAGTGAGGATAGAGAAATGCCTTTTACTTGTCAACAAAAGATACATAGACAAAGATGTCTTTGTCATTTTTCTAAAAATTACATTAAGCAGACAGAATTAAATATCAAGGATTTTATCAACTCATGGATTTTATCAATTTGAGGGGAGTATACCTAAGACATTGGAAATTTTTCCATGGTCCTACCATTCACACAGATAGACTCGTCTTGATAGACTGGTGATTCTCAACTCTTAGACCAAAGCAAGTCTTGCTTTGTATCACAATATTAAATGACACTTTCCCATTCTCAAATGGAGTTTGAGGATAATGAATTTCATAATTTTCCTGAGCTAATATATAATAAATTTAAGAAAAATACATTTTTAGTTTGCACTAACAAGAGACACAAAATGAGGCAATCTGATATTGGCATCTGTATATAATTCCCACCTGAACACAACAACTAAAATATTATTTATAGTAATATTGTGTTGTGTTTTAATGTCATAAGTGGTCTTGCTTATTAATCATGTGATCTAAAAAAAAATAAATAAATCTTAGTGATGTTCTGAGGAAACCAGAACAAAATCTTTCATTGGTATCCATGATAATTGTGGTTTCAAAAAATTTGGGTCAAAAGTACTATGTGCTTATGAAAGCTGAATAAAACCCATTAGCTCCAATAATTCACTATATATATATTCCACTTTCTACATGTCTGAAAGTTTATTTAAATGCACAGCAAGATGAGATAGCTCTCTTTAACACAAATGTCTTGTTCCTGATCTCACCACCAGATCCTACTAGTAGTCCTTATGACGGTAACATCCAAAGTGGCCATTAAGTCTAATGACACTTCCCATTCACATGTAGCATCTTTTTTATATCAACTAAATCAAAAGACATGCAACTTGAAATTTTGTCATTCATTCTGTGAAACAAGATTAAAAAAGTATTATAAATTACAGAATCTTGCATTTTTATATTCTAGATAATACTTCTATATATAGGCTCATAGAAATAGATGGTTCCCTTATAATATTGAGAAATGCATAACTGCTTTGTATCAGCATTTCTAAAGTTTAGAAGATATAATCCAGCATTTAAAGTATAATGCACAGTCTACATTTACAGTAGCCATAAGAAAAAAGCTCTCAGCCGTAAAGCTTATTTTAAATATTTCATTCTATCTTTATTTTCTTATATATTTTGTGGCTGTTCCAAATTTTCTTAAAATGTTTGTAGGTATTAGTAATGGTCTTACAAACTTTACAAGTCAAAGTGAGGAAAAAATACTTAGAAATAAATAAATAAAAGAAATGTTTGTTCTTTTTTTTAAAAAAAGAGATGGGTATGGAGAGCTAAAATTTTAAAAAGTAAACGTTAGAAAGTTTGCAGTGTGTTGCTACATTCTTTTTCCTTAGATTAGTTGCTATGTTTTGGTAACTTCATTTAAACTAGAGCCTCATGGGGCACTTCTTGTCCCTCAGAGAAAGTTGGGATCCATGGAACAGCAGCAAGTAAGGAAAAGCCTTTTAAATGTGAGGATATCCCTCTTGGGAATAAGGGACCCACCTGTAAGCCACCAGTCCTTCTGATCACACCACGAATGACTTCAGGTTTCTGAAGCCTTAAATATGGACAGGGCTCAGTTCTCTGAAGACTTTAAGGTCATGAAACTGAGGTAGACAGAACACAAATAAGAGAAAAAGGCAAAAAGAAAGCAAAGCCAATTAAATAAAAACCATAAACCTGTATGTGAACTCAATCAGGAATTGTTTCTGAAATTAAAGTTTAATGTAGTTTAATATACCATATGTCACAAGTTATGAACCAAATGGATAAACATTCCTAAGAATTTGGCAAAGATATCCATCCATAAGGTTAATTTTTTTGGAAAAAAAAAATAATGATTTTAATATAGAAACAACTCTTTTAAAACAACACAATAGATGTCAATAACCAACAGAAAATTACTAAGGATATGAATGAATAACTCACAAATTAGTCAGTCCTAATTATCAACAACAGCATGTTATTATTTTAAAGGATGGAATGGTATTACTCTTGAGCATATTTATTCATTTATTTCCAAATGTTTTCTAAAACTCTTTTAAGGCAACCTAATCTCATGTATTCTAAATTAAGGGCTATCCCATATTTATCCCCCAAAGTTCTTTTTGCTCAAAAATATGGGTTTTATTTATTTAAAAACATATTATTTTAAAAATGGAGTGCAACTTAAAGACTACAGTAAAACTTCTTATCTTCAAGTGCAGAATAATGCATTAACTGTTGCCCAATACATATGAAAATTCTGTCTAAAATCAGGAAAGGCAAAAAGTTTAATTATCCTATAATGCTGTTCATTTCACTGTGAGCAGGACACTGGCCAGAAGCATTCTATAAGTCAGACATTTGCCATTACTCAGGCATCTTAATAAGGTTAGAAAAAATTTTCAGTGTGATGGATGATGGTTACCCATGCCCTTAAACACAACCTGTAGAAGGGCAAGGCTAAAAAAATGTTCATTAGGGCAAAAGTTCAGGCATTGCCTCCAAACTTTAGGATGATAAAGACAAGTTTCTTCATTCTCCACTTTTCTGGTTGTTTTTGTCAGGGTGTGTGTGTTAACTTCTCCAATTTGTCTGGTAAAACAAGCAGATTTGGTCTCTTTGAAGCTGTTTGATGACTACGATTAGCCTTCAGAAGGTGAAGTAGAGAAAAAATAACTCTTCACCTAACTACACCAACTGTGTTGGGGAGGGCCATGTTTCAAGCCCAGGAAGTCACCATGCCCTAATAAAACTCTAGCAACAAGCAGACCCATTTTTTTTTTTCTGGATGGGCCAAGCAAACAGTGTACTTTGAAAATATTACAATATTGTGATTCCATGTAGGTTTACCACAACTCATCTTAGCACGAATATCTTTTACAAACTACAGGAAGCACTTGGACACTTCTTAGTCCTTTTCTTTGTCTGAGTCAAGGAAAGGTTTTGATCAAGCAATGCAAAGCCATTCTTACTTACCTCCCTTGCTTATTCTCATTCCCAACAGGGAAAAATGAATACTGTAGTCTTGGCTAACAGCATAAAAGGCAATTCCATAGGTCAATAATCTTTTGTTTAACCCAATGGCTTCCTCCAAGGACAAAAAGCAGCAAATCATAGCAGCTGATTGCTGTTGTACTTAAGAAGATTTCATTGTAAAACGCAACTTTGTTTTTACAGTTCTTGGAATGTGCCACTACGTACAAGTAATAAATCCTGAAGAATTGGTAGGGAAGAAAACAAATAAGGATTATGCCTATAAAGAACAGGTTTTTTAGCTGAGCCCAGAACTCCTGGTGGGACAGTAAGGAATGGCGAAGCTTTCGCACCATGAACAATGTGATGTAGGCTTGGAAAACTAAGAGAATCATTGCAATGGCTATGACAATAATGACTATCATATAGTTGACAATTTGTACATAATCACGGGCAAGTTCTTTATGGAATCTAAAACAGTGTTGTTCATTGTATTCTTCATTATTTCCATACTGAGAAACCACAAGGGGCACTACAATGACAATCACTAAAAGCCACATAGCAGTACTGGCAGCAACTGCATGCAGTTTTCTATAGAATTCTACTTTGTCTCTGCGCTTGAAGAAAATGAGGTACCTGATAACTAGTATCACCACATAGAAGAGGAAGGTGAGGTACATGTGTATATGCAGCATGGCGCTCACAAATTTGCAGAAGGGTAATCCAAATGTCCAAGTCCCTTTGATGAGGTATACCAAGCGGAAAGGCACAGTCAGAAGAAATAACCCATGGACCACCACCAGATTAATGACTGCCATGGTGGTCACTGAACGTGAGTTCATTTTCACCAGCAAGAACAGGATGGAGATTACACCTGCCAGTCCTCCAATGAGCACTATGAAGTAAAGCGAGGTTAAATGGTGCGCCAATATAGGATCACAAGAGGAATTCTCGTAGGTATTGTATCCGTCCATTCTTCAAAATTGCCTGCAAAAGCAAGAACACCAATGTACCTGGACAAACTTCCACACCTTTGTTCACAGCTCCTCCAATACACTGAGAAGGTGGCTCAGTAGTTTACCTGTCTTCGTGTCATTACACTTTATATGTTTTAAGAAGGAAAACAACACTGTCTGCATATTTGTTTTCTCTACACCTAAAGTACTAAGCCATTTCATTAGTCTGTTTGATATTATAACACAATACCACAGATTAGTTTAGAAAAAGATTCATTCTGGTTCACAGTTCTGAAAGTTCATGGTCGGGGGCCTCACCTGATGTCCTTCTTCCTGATAGAGTTGTAGGGAGGTGACAGAACACAGGGAGTGTGAATGTATCTTTTCTAATCTCTCCTCCACTTTTCCCAACAGCATCAGGATTTAGACATGAGGATTCTACACCCAGAGACACGGGTGGAAGGCCCGAGTGGCTGGTGAAGTGATGCAAAATATTTTTAGCATGATTGTATTTCTCTAAGTCCTTCCAAGTGATTATTAAATGGACCAAGGATATTCATACTAAATCATACAAATTTCATACAAATTAGAATGAGAAATTCATACATACTAAATTCATACAAATTAGAATACTGACTAATTTGACCAAAGCTCGGGGAAGTCAAAGCAGATCAGAGCTTTACAGCACTTATCTGCTTTTCTCATGACAGTTTTTACAGCATCCTCTAGGAGACCATGGGTGAGTTCTTTCCCTGAAGTATGACATGCCTCACAAGGTTCTCGTGTATCTGCACATGTCTTGTAAATTTAAAAGGCTAACTCTTACTGCTTCTTTGGGCTCCTGAAAACTCCTCTTTATGACTACCTAGTTCTTTGCAATCGATCCTCTAAATTCTTATTTTTATTATTTATTTTATGTTATGTGCATGAGAGTTTTGCCTGCATCTATAGATGTGCACCACATGAGTTCTTGGAGACCAGAAGAGGATGTCAGACCCTTTGGGTCCTATTGAAGAGCATCCTATTGAAGGGCTTTTCTCCAGCCCTCAACATTCTTCATTAGTTATCAATAAAAACTTTCAAATTTGAATTTCACTACATATGTCGCATCCAATTTCCTTTTTAAGTTTTCAATGGTTTTTCATCTCAAGAGATCAATGATATCCTTAAATCCAGTATGAAATTCTCAAAATTAATAAAAACCTATTTTTAAATATCCAGAAAGCCCACTTGCCTGCTTACTTTGATTTGTTTCCTTATGGTGGTATTGAAGGGATGAGGCAAGGATATGGGGGGACTGGGAAGTGAAAAGAATTGGGGTACATGATGTGAAACTCCCAAAGAGCCAATAAAGATGCTTTTTTTAAAAAAAATAAATCCAGAATGTCCTGGATTACGGTGCCCAAATGTTGATGGTTAAAAGGAAAAAAAGAAGGCTATTCAAGTCTAGCATTCTTGCTTGAACAGTTACATATTAATGATAACATCTATGATATATTTTTTACTAACTTTAGAAAAGCTGGAACTGAGCAGAAAGGTAATTGAATTATTCGCTGACACATGCAATTGTTCTTAATGCTTTTCTAAACACTTCTCCAAACAAATGTATTCTCACACAAATTATAAACCAATTATTAAACCAAATCATGTACACAATGCTGGTGAATCTCAAAAGCTGTGTATAAATCATGTTTATTCTCAGTGAGGTGATTTTGCTTCTAAAGATACAAAAATGGTTAATGAAGTATAAAAAATATTATTCTATGTATCAATCAGGGAAATGTTTACAGTGGCTAACAAGACACACAGACATACTAAGTTTTCAGAGGGACAGGGAGGACAATTAGATCAAAAGAATCTCTAAAAAAATATTTCTAGGGAAATGATAATTTATAAAAAGTTGAGAAACTAGTAATAGGAGATGCCATAACGGCTGTGTGTGTATTATTTCTTTTTCTAGAAAATTCAGACAAAATGTGAGACAAAACAGATGTAGCCCAACTTGTAAGGGAAAAAGTGGGCCTTAAGGAGGTATTTAGGGGCAACATTGAACTATGCACTTAGATGACCAATGCCCATGCATTTCCTTTACCTCCATAAAATGTAATGATAGCCTAACGTCAAGCACATAACACACTTTCAGAAAGCTGTGGCCCACTTAACCATATTTTCCCTGGAAGCTCTGAAAAGTTTGCTGTTATATTGTGTGAACACCCACTACTTGCCTTCACTTTCTCTCTGTAAAAGTAGAAACGATCTTGTTTTCATCTGAGTCAAGCATGGTTGTGCTGCCAACACTTCTGCTCACAGTTTCCTTCAGCTATTAGTCTAGTAGGACTGATCCTGAAAGAAAGAGTAAAGTCAGTGGTGTGTCACTTGAATCAACCTCTTTATAAACTTCCTTGATTTACTGCCTTTCAAATATCAGAAGCATATGTTAAATGATTCCTGTGTACCAGGACTACAGTATAGTGAGTTATTCACTACCACAGTAGGCTCACAGCTGTGTAATACATTGTTACATGGAATTTAAGGTGATAAAACAGTCTTTAGGTCCATAAGCAAGGAAGGGTACATGGAACCAAGACCTTATAGCGTGGTTGATCCTGTACATGCTCACTTTCTTCCTTCACTGTTACTGTTTCTGGAGCTATGGCTCCTGAATGTGACTGCTGCTGGAGACAAGAGGTGGACAATAATGGATTCCAGCATGCAAAAGCCTTCCTTCATCAGGTAACATGGCAGTGGCATGATCCATTTGCTCTAAGACCATTGTGGAAGCCTTCTGGTATTCAGGAATATAAGTTCTGGATCTCAGCTATCAAGATGGCATGTCAAACATCCATCAGAAATTTTATTGAATGTAAATGGAGTAAGCAGTAAATAGTCAAAAGGGGTTTTTAGGCAGAGTTGAAGGAGGAGTCCAGTTCCACAGTATTTACAAATGCCAATCTTTAAATACAAGAGTTTATATAAACATTGTGGTGTGTTCATATATTCACTATGAAGTTCTCTCTTCCTTTCTTCTTGTTTTGGAAACAAAACAAAGTCCAAAAAACAAGAGTTTTTATTGTCAACTTGACACAATCTATAGTCACCTGGGATGAGAACATCAGTTGAGGCCTTGCTCAGTTCAGATTATCATGCAACCATGTTTATGAGAGACTGCCTTGAATAGTATAGGAGGGCCCAGGCCACTGTTGGTAGTACTGTCCCTAAAGAGGTGTTCTGGGCTATATGAGAAACCTAGCTAAGCATGAACAAGCAAGCAGTATTACTCAGTGCTATATGCTTCAAGTTTCTGACCTACTTAAGTCTATGCCCTGATCCCTCAGCGATGAACTACAATTTGTAACATTAAATAAGCCCTTCCTCTCTCAAGTTGCTCTTGGTTTGTGTTTTATCATAGCAAAAGAAAAGCAAACTAAACTAGGACAGAGGCTGTGCTATCCATAGACTTATAATTCTCAACCTCAGCTTTCCAGATAACGATAGTATGAGCTTGTATCACCATACCTGGCTCTGTATCCAATGTTTGTAATAATAATTTTCTTTAAAACTCTATCTTTTCTGACATTCTTGAGCATGTTTTGTTTATAGTAGTTCTACCGGTTGCTACCCCTGGGGAGAGGGCACATATCAGATAACCTTAAAACTGGACATTTATATTGTGATTCGTAACAGTTACAGAAGTTATGAAGTTGCAATAAAATAATTGTATGGTTGGAGGGTCACCACAACATGAGAAACTGAATGAAAGTGTCTCAACATTAGGAAAGTTGAGAACCACTTTTTTCATTATCTTTACTTAAAGGCTTAAGGATTCTTAAATCTAAAATATGAACTTTTAAACAAAGAAATATGTTTGCTTCTTCTCTTATAGTATTAAAAATTTAGAGTATTCTGATTCTATTTATGCCTTCATTCCATAATATTGTTTTCACTAATTTTAAATCTATGTATGGTTTATTATCCCAGAATAAGCAACTTTAACATATGGCTTGTATTTTTAGAGAAACAATACAAAATGGTCCCTGTCGGCAAAGTCAAAAATAGCACAATAGTATTAGCTATGAGGATTAATGTTGTATTTGGGTTCGAGGAATCAAACATTTCCATATAATATAACTTAAAAAAAAGTTATATTAGGTAGACAGTATGTTCTAAAAAAGTGGTTAGCAGATTTTAACCATCATAATAAGATAATAATAATAATATGGGGAATGTGTTGATAAGATTAAAATAAGTTATCATGCTTCTTAAATGAAATACACAAACTGAGACAGTCAGCTACATTAAAGACCTTTTAAAAAGCCATATGGAAACCCAATACTGTACAAGCTTCCCAATATATATTTATATGTGAAAAAATTAAAGAAGTCACCATGAAATGAAAGAGACAGTTACTCCAGTTAGACATCTTATAACACCAAGTAAAACTTCCATTGAACGAAATGAATTATGTCTTGTTGTGTTATTGGTCAAAAGCTTCCCATAAGTTCTCCCCGTTGCAAATGTCATAGAACTATTTGTTTCTGTCTATAACCTAATCGTAATATCCTGTTGCTGAAGACAATACTTACTTATGCCATTAAACATTAAAAAAAAAAAAATCAAGCTGGTTCCCTACTAAAAGATTCACCCCTACTGACTAGTGTTCACAGAGCTGGAAGATACTTTGTACACACTAAAGGAGAAAAGTAACCATCAGTATTACCCAGCTTCAAACCTTAAGACCTACATTAACCTGCCTGCAAGGATACACTAGTGCAATAGTAGCAGTAAAGTTGTGGGGGTACCAACCACTTTTTTAATTGGATTTAGGGCCCACTACATGAGAGGGAACCCATAACTGGCACTGCCAAAGTGTCCAAAAACCTGAGACTAAATAGGTCATGGGCCCTAAGGCAAAACCTACTACTATTATTCTGTTTTTAAAAAAATCATAGTAATAAAATGATTTTTAATGGCATTGTGCTATACCCATAGATCAGTGTGTATCACTCAGCTCTCATCATAGAAATGTGATAGTATTT